TAGGCATTCATAATGCTCATGACTGTCGGTATCATAAAAGATGAAGTACTCGTTACAAATATACCTTCGGAAATTAAAATGAAAACCTTGCGTTATTGAAAGGGTTACTGACGAGCCAGCCTCGTGTGGAGGTTCGAAATCTGATCAACATGGATTTAGCAGCCTAAAGTTAAATGGGACAAGATTGCTAAAACAAATTGATTAATTGAGATTCACATTAACCAAGATCCATTTGGAAAAACGTTTGAATGACTGACGGGTCACGTTTAGAGAGGAATTATCATGACAGTTCTTGAATCAGATTGGATGAAAATTAAATGGCTTTCTGAAATTTGGAACTGTACACTTCGTGGATATCAACTATTAGGAAATATGAGAGAGGCAACAATTCAAATGGATTACTACTTTTCCTTAAAATTTGAACCATTTATGAGTGCTTGGAATTATTTTTTTAAATATTTCTCCACTTCTATCACCACTTTCACCCTCACTACTACGAACATCACCACGTACAATTAAAGGCTCTTCAGAGCAGTTATTTCTCTATGAGCAACGGTCAGTACGTTAATGAGCATGCGAGTCAATCAATACAGTCCAGGCGCTGGTTACCCGGTGGTAACGTCACCAAACTATCATCCCGGGGATGTGAGTTCGAATCCCACCACCGCCACCTGACTTTCCTCAATGTGTAGTGAGTGGAAACCGTTTGATTGGCCGTTTTCCACTATCTAAAACTTGTATCTTTTTATATTCCATAAAAGGAATTAAGATGAAAAAAAGATCAATGGAAGAAGACGACTGACTGGTCATGTGTGTACGTGTACGCGCGAACGAATGAACGGAAGTGAGTAATGGCCGACGTGCATACTTCAAACTGGTTCGGTCATGGAAGGAATCAAACCACAAACCTTGTGATTTGGGAAGCGAAAAAAATAGGATATGCAAGAATGGCTCAAGTTGTTGCATACAATCTGTTCAGTGCACGATTGTCCGGACAGAGGAACTTCAATGGTCCATGTTGTTTGCCGTTTTCCGTCCTCTATACCTGTCTCTAGCAAACTTGAGCCAAAACCCTCAATACTTTAGCCTGCACGCACAAACTTTAGTCACGTCGCAGTAAGGAAGTTAGATCAAAAAGTATCGGAAAATTCCGAGGTGAACGAATTTTTAAGTATTTTATTTTCTAAAAATCTCGGTGTCACAAAACTTTGGTAATAAATTAGAGGGTTTGGCCTATCTTTTGCTGCGTATTTTACCGTCGTAATGTTATCAAATGCCATACCAAATATTGCTTAGAGAAGGCTTAAACCCTTTGGCACACCTCGTATGGCTACAGGTATTTTAGGGAACTAGCTTTAAATGTGCTCATTAAAAAAGTAAAAACTTTTCCTGATGCAATTTACTGAAAGGTGCTTGCCATGGACTGCCTCACTGTGGATTTGACCAGCTCGTAGTTTTAAGGTGCAGGCTGGAGTGTTACTTCTCGATCCCTGGCTGAAATTGCCCGATGTGCTTTGATCTTAATGCAGAAATGTTTAACAACTTCTCTCCAACCCCCACCTTTGCGTGCTCATTCAAGTACTGACAAATTATTGAAAATCGGTTATCATAGCTCGAGTGAACTGAATTCCATTTCGCCCGTTCGCCGAGCTTGGCAATTTGTTTGCAAACGTTTCATCACCAGACGAGATGACATCATCAGTGCTTGTGTTGATGTCACCTTGGCTGGTAGGTAAGGTATAAGAAATATCGTTCCCTCCTATTGTATGAGGTTTCTATAGTCCCATTACCGACGAATCAAATGCTACACGACGGCACTACAAGACAAATTTAAAATGCGCTACTCCTGCGAGTAAAAATCTCCAATGCAACACAAACGGTACATTGTTTTGCATTCACAAGCCCTGTGTGAATAAAAGTGGTATACTAAAAAGTGAATGCCTACCGTTCCGTATCTCTTGGTTATGTGAATTCCGTTTTTGCAATGTGGATACGTTTATATGCTGAGAAAAATGAACACCGTTCACAAAATTAAACCGCATCACCATCATCAGTTTAATAACGCTGCAGTATGTGACATAAACACGACGGTCAAGGTTCCAGAATTGCGAGTTTTGTCTTAGGATTGATGGGAAAGGTGTACTAAATGGGACGTCTTTTATTACGCAAACTCAGGCAATTCCGAACCCCGCAATCATTCCTCTTATCTTTCGTTCATCAATGTGTCTTACCAATTCTACTTTGTTGCTCACTTATAATGTTTCCCGGTCTTTTAAAACAAGACTTCCAAACAATCCGCCGTGGTTAGGTGAAAATCAGTCGTGCAGCCTTAATCCCAATCGATTTAATAATTACAGAACTCATTAATGATCACATGAACTCTTGTTTGCTCAAAAGATTCTTGATGATCCTCTTCATCCACCACACCCTGATCTATTGTCTTGCCGTTCCCATCCGTCCACACGGTCCTCATTTCGATAGCTACCCTCTCGGATTAACATTTATAAAAATTCCTCTGTCCCCTACTTGGCCTGACTATTTACCAAAAAGAACCAGGTCTCAAATGAACTACGTCAAACGTTTTGTACATGAAATATTTATCACGGACATTCTTTACCTTTCGCTTTTATCATTGTTATTTCATTGTGTGACGAACAGTGTATATGGTTAACTGAAATGTGTAAGTATATATGCTTGCACAAGTTATACAAATACAAATTAACGGTGTTCATCATTCTCGGACTTTTACTGATTGAAAGGGCTTGATGAAAATGATGCCGTTGTATTCATTAGCATCCAATACACCATCAAAACGGTTTCACAGTGGAAGACCTAATGTCATTAGGACACGTGAACTGGCATCAGTCTGTGAAACAGTTTTGCACCATACTCAGTAGATGTAGCTCAAAAGTCTTGAGCGGTACGCACCATGGAGTATTAGGCCGAGACTTTCCCTTTTTTCCTTTGGTATTGAAGTGATGCGAACAATACACCATTCATCAGCTAGCTTACCTAACAGACTGTAACTGGTTTTGTCAACAAATCCAGTATAAAAAAATGCTGATGTTCATTTCCGTCGACTTATCTTAAACGTTTGCCGGGAGATTATCACAGTTTAATATCAGAGTACCCACAATAGTCATTAATTTTAAGCTCAGTCTACTTGCTAACCTCAACCTTATGTAAAAAAATGTCCGCTGTATCTTAATATCATTTGTCGATGTTTCTTACGCAACAATACTTTTTCTGAAGACGAGTAACCCTTTTCACCAAACAGATCGACTGCGTTCTGTTTCGTTCAGTTTGGTGGGCTGAGCCAGGAATGGGCAGAGTACGCTTAAGGTGGTTTTAGTTGCTAGGGCATTGATGACAGCCAGCCCATTAACCAAAGTTCACCTCAAGAACTCCAACCTCTGTCACTGAACAAATATTATTATTCAGATAGACCCATGATGCTCATAATGAAAAGTACATCGCTCGGATTACACCGTAAGAACAAAACTCGTCCCTGGTTATACTTACTGTGATCAGGTTTGGTTACTGAGCTATCGTCAACGTTGGAGCAACTACGATCAAATGTACTTTAGCTGTAGTGCGCACGAGACAGTGCGTAACCTTTCATGCATATCGAGTGGCTTCCAGTTTGGTTGTCACACGCAAACAGTATGGCTTCAACGACCCATAGATTCGACGTCCGTTGCAGAGCTGGGCAAGATGCACGACTGACGTCTGCCTCATTTCAACGTAGAAAGAGATTGGGAAGACAGGTGGTCAATCCGCGGGGTAGAAAAGATGTGATCAATTGATCAATGAGGTGAGCTGAACGGAAGCGGATCCAACCACAGCGTTTCTTTTTCAAGTCTAGGTGGTGATTTCTCAATTCAAAATGACGGTTTCGCAAACGAAAATTATATTTTCTCAAATCTAACTTAAATGGTATATATGCACCCCTCAAATACACAGTTCACTATCATTGGAGATACACCACGGAAGCATTCATTCTTTATTGTATTTTATATTGATTCATGTCAGATCTTGATACTTTTACTCATAGGAGTACTGAATGTTATACCGAAATACCGAAGCTGAACGAGATATTTCAAATGGTTTAACGATACGGGCACACCGTTTAAACCTGCTCCAATCAACATGTAGTGCAGCGTTTGACAGCCACACCTTATTGCTTAACCAAGATTTGAGACATCAAAATTTATAGAAAATAAAATATTTCAACGTTCGTTCATCTCAGAAAATTCCGATAGTTTTTTTTTACATACCTCGCCTACAGCAGTATGACTACCAGTGGTAGCTAAAGCATTGCGAATTTTGGCTAAGGCGTGAAGAGGAAAGATATCCAATTTTGGTATTTGAATGTCTTCCGTGAGGATTCGTATCTCCTTAGTACGGATTAAGACTGACAGTTTGATCAAACTACCCACCCGAAGACCTGTCAATCCAAGAGATCTAAAATCGCTTTATATCACACGAGTAATCGGTACATTCTTACATACGTTCTAATTCAACATTCAAACAAAGATTCAGTCGTTGAAGCAAGGTTCAGTTATTAAATTCTCATCTAAAATGTTCATCGGCGTCAAACTTAACGGATACCACCACTTCTATTCACATGAATTCACATAGTTTAAAGGCAACGGACGGTCTTTGTTCTCAAACAAACGCATGTTCTACTTTTGTATCGTCGAATCTGTCCTTCCTCATATCAAAAGTATCCATGGCAACCTGTTTCGGAAATAACTCCTAATGGCTATATGTAAGTTCGGAGGTGTCCGATTGGTTCGAATTCAACTAGGTTGCGCGGCTTCATTGGCATATGTGCTTCACCATGTGTACTAGTGGATTTCCCTTATCTTAGAAACTTTGTCTCTCTTCATGTGTAAGGTTCTTCTTTTTCACAGACTTTTACACCAAAACAGTGTCAGCTACACAGTTATCAGCCTTTCTCTTATTCATTTGAAATAATCGAGGACGACACTGTATTGATGCAAACGAACGGTGCAAATCCCAACCAACTTGCTTTTCCACCCATCAGTGATCGGGAAGTTGCCAGTATCAGCTTCATTTTGTCCGGTGGTGTTCTATTTAATCTCTACTCATGTTTGGCACTAAGTCGAACTCATATCCCATCCACTCTATCCAAACTGTTGCTTTACAATCAATGCGTTCTCGACGCGGCACTGTCTTTGATCGTGGTCAGCATGATTGCCTCGGGCAATTACACCCTCCTTTTTCCCCAGGACCGTGCCAATCCCGTAGTATGTGCACTGTTACAGAGTGGATTTATCAGTCGTCTGATCCGTATAATGATATTGTGCAATATTGTTTGTCAATCTGTAGATCGATTTTGGGCAATTGTCTATCCAAATACATATTTCATGCATACAAAGCGATATGTCATGGTGTGCTACACGATGATACCAACATATGCCTTGGCAGCATCGATATTTCGTTTGTTCAAGGTGAATTTTGTCGACGGACAGTGTGAAAGACAAGAATTGGATCTCAGTCCACAAGCAATACGCGCGATAGAGATTGTTCTCCGTTACACGATACCAATGATCGTTTCATGTAGTCTGAATCTGACTGTGGTGTGGAAACTGCATCATCTGGGTATCTTCAAATCGTGGATGGTTTCTAACACCCAAGCAGCTGGCAATACGTCGGGACAAACAGATTCGACCGATCCGTTGGTATCCTTGAGGAACCGAATTTTTCTCAGCACGTTCGGATTGAATGTTGAACTGACCATGCAAGAAATTGTTTCCATCACACTGACCGTTCTGCACTACCAGGGTGTTTTAAATTTTGGACTTCAATCGAAAATTCGTATCTATTTTTTGTTTGGAATAGCTCTGTGCTCTGGTTTGAATCCCGTTCTGCCGATTATAACTGTGGAACCGCTTCGAAATACGATGCTTCGCGACCTACGGTGCTTCAAACCACGTGGTTGAACGGACTGGACCGAACTGGACTGGTCTCACACGTGCTTTGAACCAGTGTATTGAATACGCAAATAAACAGATATCGTACATGTTGTGAATTCGAGCTCCTTTCAAAGATTTCTGTTCACTCTTGGGCTTTACAAAACAGCTAACCTGATCTATGTCTGACAAAAAACGGAATCAATAGTTATGCAACTTGTCAAGCTTGGAAAAACCTTTTGACGTTAACCGTAAGCCTCTGTTTTCATCTGATTCGACTCGGTCTCTCTGACTTTTAGTTGATCTTTTCAGTTGTCTAAACAGTCACCAGAATCAAAGGCTTACTTTCAGTGATTTGGAACCATTCCACTACATCATAACGATTATCTCAATGGTCAAGCATTTGAAGTAGCTAACCCATAGATTTTTTGGTCATCTTAAAGCCTCCTCGTCTAGTTCATGTGTCGTAGAACACCGTCCCCTCAACTTACACAATCAGTCTCCAGACTTGCAGCCTTTCACTTCAGCCTAATCTAGCATTAGCAAGTCATAACGGTGTTTAGGCCGAAAATGAGACTCGTTGTGATAGATGATGATGCGCACGCATTCAGTGGTAGCGTCACCGAACGGTCACCTCGAAGAACGTGTGTTCGAATCCCACCACCATCGCTTGACTTTCACGATTCTATGTGTGTTGTGCGGTTGCCCTTTGATTGGCCGCTCCCTCCTTCGTAAAAATTGCACCACTGTGTATTTAATAAAAGTAAATAGGAATGGAAAAAGGAAACAGAGAGGAAGAATGCACACAGTCGGATGCTATGCGGTTAATCCATTTTAATCTCTGACGCCAGTTTTCTGTCTCTACTACATCAAAGTTTTAGGTTGTACAGCTCTAACCATGCACCTTTTAGGCCGATTTTTATTGCTATCTTTTGAATGAAGCAGTTGGAGAAAGACAGGAAGAGTAAAACAATAAATGGAGAATTTCAGTGAAATAAGGTTGCAAACATATTGCGAAGATGGAGGAACACCCTTGTTTGCGATACTCAGACAGTGTATTTAACCACTGGCTACGATCATCATGAGGTCCACGGCCGGGGAACCTAACGAGACCTACGTGCCCGAGACTGTTGGTTGGGGTTTCCATATCTTCCTGCCAAGTCATAATTTAATCACCCTCAAAAAAAACATAGGCATTTCTCCACCCCGTTGAGAAATGTGTTTTTCTATCTGAGGCCACGCATTTTCAACTAACATTTGAGGCATCGTAATTGAGCCTCTAAATTTTTTTATACGAAAATCGCAATTTTCTTTCGGGACATTTGCTTGCACTAGAAACGAAATAGTGGTACAGTTTTGCTAAGCAATTCGTCGTACAGTCCATGAGGAAAGAAAGGCTGCTGTCTGTTTGCTTTTTTGACATTCAAAGTTGTGGTGACACTACCCCAGACCACGTGTTTCGCGGGTATAGTATTTTATGTACTACTCGCTGAAGTCCCCGAACCGCTGCGTGGGAAATCAACATTCTGTGTTTTATAAGTAACTAATGTGATTATCAAACCATTGACGGTAAATACATTAAGAAGGAACTGGCACCCACCCACACACACACACACACACACACACACACACACACACACACGGGAAACCAAAAGGAAGAGATGCGCCAAACTTGGAAGCCAAAATAGAGTAAACGATATTTGCG